GTGGGGTGGGACGGACGGGACTGGGAAGGCTCCCAGACTCTCTCTTGGTTTAGGGTGAGGAGAAAAGCTGAGAACAGGTTGATTTTGGACACACTATTTCGCCCCTTCCGCCTTGGGCCCTGTCGTCACTCCCGGCCCCAGTCCACACTCGTCTGTCCAAGTACAGTCCAGCCGAGCTGCAGACACACCTTCTCCAGCAAGGTAAACGCCACCCGGGATGGGTATTCACTGTCAGCAATGACCACTCCCGCCAGACTGTCGTTTCTCACGTAGACATGGCACAGATATTCTAGGGAGACAAGAGGCCAGACACACAGAGGGTGACGTGAGGGCTTTAGACTTTCTCACCACCAAAACCAGTCAGAGTGTTACAGTGCTGGGCTCCTGCCTCCTGGGCCAACGAAGCGGCTCTAAGTGAGGTTTATGGTCAGGCCCTGCACATAGGACAGCGCGTGTAGTTCTGACGGCAGCGCGGCCCAACACCTGCTGCAGGGTGAGTGAATGCCCCAAGGCCCAGCGTGCAAAGCCAGGATCTAAAGGAGCACCAGTGGTGCAGAAAAATCCCAGGCAACAGGGCCCCAGGTGCATGTCCAAGTCACGTCCTTGAGCTCTAGGTCAGGCTCGCCTGTATCTTGGGAAGCTGCAGCCCTCTGGGGCTCTGCTGTGCTCTGCTCCCAAGCTGATGGAACCTTGGCCAAGCCAAGCAGCCTCCACTTTCTTAGAAATCACCTGTCAGGGCCTCAGCCTTCCTCATTACAGCAACCTAGCCTGCTCCACTCTGTTGGTGGGCCTTGGCGGGGACGGGGCAGGATGGGAGGAAGAGACAAAGCCCATCCAGAAAAAAATTAGCCACAGCTGGCTGGGGTCTCAAGCATGTGCTGAAGTCATCAAATTATCAAAAGGTACAGTCTATACAAGGGCTTCTGCAAAACAGTCACAACTCCTGAAATTAATTTTGTCACTAAAAGGATTCAGAGATGACACAGCTCACCAAATGCCTCTAAAATAAATGTCTAAAAATTTTTAAAGGAAACCTGAATCATGAAAAAGAAAAAACTAAGGTCAAGAGGAAAAAATAATGAGTTTCCAGATTCCTGGGCAAAAATCTAAGCAGCACAGAATAGAGTATTACCTCCACAGGGCTGGGTGGACGTCCTTTCCTGAGATGTCTACAACTCCAGAGGGGAAAGAGGACACAGCAGGAAGGCCACTTACTGCTCCGAGAGGCGGACCCCAATCTTAAGCGAGTCCAAGCTTTTGGGGGTGATTTTAACCAGGCAACTTCGACACCAACAGTGGGCATAGAATTTTGCGTAACAGGAAAACGAGGAGGAGGGAAGAGAGCAGCTAGCAGAGGAGTGGGGTCCTGGTAGCCCACTTCATCACGCGGCAGCCACTCCTGCTGATCGAGCTCCGAGCTGCCTGAGGTGGGGCAGCCAGGCCAGCACACACTCACAAGGTAGCAGGTCCTCTTACCTTGTTCCTTGACAGAAGCTCTGCTGCCTTTCGAGGAGCGCTCCACAATCAGCTGACTTGTGAAGGTCATGAATTCCTGAACGCTAAGAAACACAACACATATTACCTGTTCCTGTCACCTTGTCCCCAACACAGTGGAAAGGGACCTCTGAGCGTATACACTAAGGAGACACTGCTTCTTGGTTTCATTCCTTTCCCTCCCAACCTTAGGACGAAATAATAAACACCCTGTCAATGATCACAAATACAGGTAATTAGAAATCACCAAGACCATTCAAACCACATCTGCTTGCTACCTAGCTCGCTCAAACAAACCACTTCCAGACTTCCAGGGAACTTTCTACAGGTTATACTTAATTTAACATTTTGGTCAGTGTATGATTTGGGGCACAGCGGAGAAGCAAAAGCCAGCTCCTGTTTTCAAGGCTCCACTGACGTCTGAGAAGCGGGGACAAGTAAAATCTGTGACAGAATAACGTAAGTGGCAACAACTGTTCGGCGGATGCACAGTCAAGTTATGGCAGCTGCCACTGGCTGAACCCGGCAATGCGACATGTCCGCAGTGACTGCTGGCTCTGGCAGAGAACGAGGCCTCCGGTCTGCTGGGGCAAATCCACCCTATGAGCCTGGGGCACTCTGGAAGGAAGGCAGGGCAAGAGCTCAGACAAGACAAGGAAACAGAAAATGGCTCGCACAGAGGCTGAGAGGGAGGAGGCGGCTCACGGGCCCCACTGAGAGATGTGGCCAGAAAGGAAGGGTCCCAGGTGACGACGGTCCAGCTGGAGGAAGCGAAGTTAACAAGAAGCCTCTGACTGGGAATGCCATGTAAAGGGCCATCAGCACAGGGCCGTGACTTGGGGAATCCACAGTTAGCCCCAGCAGATGTGGATACTTCTGAAACCGCACGGAGAGCCACACAGACGACTGAGGACTCGGGAGGGGACTTCCCTGGCTGGGATCCCAGCTCCACCACTTATGAGACGTATGACCTCCGGGGCAAGGTACTTACTGCACCAGGCTTCATCTACAAATCGAGATTTACTGCGATGATTAGATGAACACTTAGCACGATGTCTGACGCACAGTATTACTTGTTGTTATTATTCTGAGAGGGTGATAGGATCAAGATGATCCCTTAGAGAAAACTCTGAAAATAAGGAAGTCCTTGCAGTAAAGCTAAAAAGAGACAGAGCTTAGAGCAGGACTATAATTAGACAAATGAAGAACTGCATTCATTGTGAGAGTCTGCCTACAAGGGCCAGAAAAGCTGGAAAACCCTTCGAAGGGTTGAGGCTTGGGCTCTGATAATCCTGAGACAGGCAGGATGGAAGAGAAGAGGACTTATGAGAAAAACAGTGAGCTCGGCTGGACTACGTGTTGTTTTAAGAGGCACTGGTAGAGCTGTCCCTACAGTATCGCAGTTGTGTTAATCATCTGAAACTGGTCTGAGTATCGCAAACCAGTGAGGTGAAAGTCCTACAGTGAAATCTCTGAGAATCTTCAGTATACGTGCGGAGGGGAAAAAGAAAAAGTGAAAGAATCAGAATTAGCCAAGTTAGCTCCCGAAGTTCGATCACAGAAAAGAAGGGACACAGAACAGAGACTAGAGGTCATGATAAAGAAAGCTACCAAGTGCCAAAAAGGACCCAGAAAGAAGCAGAAAGTTTCGACAAAATAACAAGAGGAATTGTCTGAGATCCTGCCAGTAAGCCACTCTCATTAAGAACAAAACAGCCGCACTGAAGCAGCGAAAACAGAATCCAGACTGCAGATTCCCCCAGACCCGGAGACTGGATGACCACAGACCCAGACTCTGTAGGGTCCTTCTCCTTTTGTGCTTGAGTCACCTCCATCCCTCCCACGAACAGGCTGGAAGTGTCTGTGGTAATTCTAACACACACCTGATTGCATTAAAGTGCCTCACGAACGTTCAAAAGCTTGTAAGCGCTACAAATCCCACGCTTCCTTCCAAATCTTCACCGTAGAACCCTTCTGTACCACTAACGCCCAACCATAAAGAGCGTACGATTTGCGTTGGGGTCCTGGCTGGTTTGCCATCCATCTCTTGGGACCTCAGTGACTTCACCCATAAAATACGACAGTATACCAATATCTCTCATACGGAATTGCTGGAAAGCCCCACCAAATACAAACGTGGCTCTTAAGGAGTGGCACGTAAACTTCCTAGGTCAGCATCACTAAGTGGGTGTTGCTGGTTTAAAATATAGATCGCTGGGCTTCCAGGGGACGTGAACCTGGGGAATCTGCACTTTTTCAAAGCCCCCTAATAATTTTTATACGACAGAAATTTGGAAAAACCCTGATTACAGCATTACGTTCTACGATGGGATAAGGCTTTTGCGATCGAAAAAAACATGAATCTTCAGAGGCACAGTCCGCAGGCCGAGGAAGAGGCCACCGCCGGCTCCACTGCGGGAGGCCGAGCCACGGCCCTTCCCCGATTCTGGGGCCGTCTCCAACCCCGACCCCGGGCCTCCCCGGCCGGGCGCCGCCCGCCTGGGCCCGCCTACCTGGACCTCTGGAAGAAGCTGAAGGAGGACACGTCGTACGCGGCTTTGAGGAGCACCGCCTTGGCATCGCCTTTGTACAGGACGCTGAGGCTGTACAGCCTCATGGCGCCGCGCCCTCGGGCCGGCTACCCGCCTGGCCGCGGGATCGGCTCGCAGGGAGCAGCTCGGCACCGCCCCTCGAGACCACCACAGGTTGCTGACGGGTCGGCCGCCGGCTTCCTCCGCCTGGCTCTGGGTCCACTTCCGGCTCCGATCAGAGGCCGCCGCCCGAGGCCTACCGAAGGGTTTTCGTGCCCCGGATGCAGAAAGGAGCAGCCGGAAGCAGGGCGAGGGGGCGGGGCAGAGTGCTGCGCGTGCGCATGAGGTCGGTCCCCGCCCTTCGGGCTTTCGTAGGCCGGCCGGCTCGCTGCTCGTAAGTCTTTAGCCTTCCCCCGCTGTCCTTCTCTCTCTGGCCGTCCTGAGTTCTCCCAGGGGCCCTTCGCTTCCTCCCGGTCCGTTCTGAGCCCTGTAGGGTCGCCTGTGTCCCCCGGCGCTGTCCTCCCTCCGAACGGTGAGACCCAGAGTCCCACACGCTAGGGCTTTGTAAACCCCACACAAGGGACTTTGATTTATGGGCGAACTGCTGTCCCTGGAAAGTGTTTTGTGAATCATATCTCCTTTCTGAGTGAAGAAAGGCAGGGACCTGCCGGGAGGTGAAGGCATGCCTCTCATTTTCAGATGATTGAGTCCTCTCTTGCCATTCCCACGCCTTCCTCCTGCCTGCCTGGGAGCAAGTCCCTGGTCACACAGGTCCCTTCAGCACAAGCTCGCAGGGGTGAGGGCTCCTGGGCCTGCCCACCACCTGGGAAACCAGATGTCTAACCACTGATTTGGGAGCCAAACTGCTGACCTCACAGAGTAGCAGAGCCACTTTACCTCAAAAGGGGCAGAAATTCATCTCCAAACTGAGGGAGCAGCTTGGCTTACTGTGACTTGGAAAAACTTACTTTGCTTGAGATGTTGGAATAGTGCTTTTTAAATGGATCGGGATGAATGAGGCTCAGTTCCCTAAGGGTAGTACATCTTTCATGCTTCTTGTTTGTTAAATGGTATGTTATCCGAAAGCATCTTGCAGGCCAGAGGTGAAAGAACCTTGGTGTTTGGAAGTTGGCAGAAGGGTTACACAACTATCATGCTAGAAGCTAGAAGCAGCCAGATCTGAAATGATGGGAAAGAGATGGTAATATTTGAAAAACCAACGGCATCACTCTAAACATTACCCTAAATCAGGGTGTCTCAACCTTGTCACTGTTGATATTTCGGATTGGATAATTCTTTGTTGTTGGCGGCTGTCCGTGCATTGCAGGCAACATCTCAGGCCTTTTACCCACTAGATGCTGGTGACACCCCACCGGCCATTTGGCAACCAAAAATGTCTCTGGGGCTTCCCTGGTGGCGCAGTGGTTGAGAGTCCGCCTGCCGATGCAGGGGACACGGGTTCGTGCCCCGGTCCGGGAAGATCCCACATGCTGCGGAGCGGCTGGGCCCGTGAGCCATGGCCGCTGAGCCTGCGCGTCCGGAACCTGTGCTCCGCAACGGGAGAGGCCGCGGCAGTGAGAGGCCTGCGTACTGAAAAAAAAAAAAAAAAGAGAAGTCTCTGGTGGGACTTCCTTGGCTGTGCAGTGGTTAAGACTCTGAGCTTCCACTGCAGGGGGCACGGGTTTGATCCCTGCTCGGGAACTAAGATCCTGCATTCGTGTGGCCAAAAATAAACAAACAGACAAATAAATAAAAATACAAAAATGTCTCTGGACATTGCCAAATGCACCCTGGGGAACAGTGGCTTAGAGAACCATTGCTCTAAATATTCCTGTGGCTGAAGGAAGTTTCCACCACCTGCTTTCACTCAGTACCTTCCTCACCAACCCTCTTCCCTGGCTATTTCCAAGTGCAGAGGGTGAACAGAGCTTTCCCACATCCCCTCCATGTTGGTACTAAACGTTAAGAACAGACTTTGGCCAACGCCAGGCCAGTGTCACGGGATGGTGGAGAGCTGTGCAGCCCCATCCTGACTGCGCTGACATGGTTGACCTATAGGGGGCGGGTGAGAGCCATTTTTGAAGACAGTTCTCAAAGTCCCTTTTCCTTTGCCACTAAAAGTCGTACAAAAGGAGGAATCAGGAGGACAGTGTTGGGTTGGAATAGATTTAAATGTATTCACGTGACACGTAATAGTAATTGTCTCGAAGTTTCCCTTACACCAAGCACTTTCCATATGCGTCCTCATTTAATCCTCACAAAAACAGAGGAAAATATTATTACCACCTTACAGACATGGAAACTGAGATTCAGGTTAAGGAAATTGCTCCTAAGAGGCACACGTCAACACCAAAACACGTAACAAACTTTCACAGCTCTAGCAGCGCTCTCCCTCCTCTCTGGCCTTGCTTGTCTTCCATCACCCCAGAAAGCCTCGCTTGGCCTATGTGGTTACCAGCTCCCCAAGCTCATCCATCTTACTGAATAGCAAGACCCACCTTCCACTCCAACACCCCAGCTGCCACCCAACTTGGATTCAGTCCCAGCACTTCTACAAACCACAAAACCACAAAAGTGAACAAACCATTAACTCCTCTGAGTCTCTTTCTCTCTTTCATCTGTAAAACTGGACAAATACCCTTTCTATAAGCATGTTGCTGGGAATGATAAGACATTACGTTCCAAGCTGTAGTCATAGTAGCTGTTTAACAACTAACAACGATGATTACGTGTATTGTTACCGTTCATGACAAAAAGGAGGAGAGGTCATGGTGGGTTACAGGTGTCCTGCAGGCTGTGGGAAGTGGAGATTTGATGGTAGGCTGAAATCTGAGGAAGGTCTAGAGATTGCAGATTAGTATTGTATCTGTTTTAATTTCTTGATTTGCTCATGGTGTTGTGGTTATGTAAGTGAATTCTTTGTTTTTAGGAAATACACACAACTACTCGGGTAAAAGGACAGCCTGTCTGAAACATGCTCTTAAAGGGTTCAGATCTATGATACATATGGAGGGTAAAGCAAATACGGTAAATTTAAAGAGTCAGGATGAAGGGTATCCAGGAGTTTCACTGTACCATTCTTGCAGCTGTCCTGTAAGTCTGCAATTATGGGGATAGAAAAGATTGTAGGGCAGGGTGCTGACGTCATGCATGCAGCATCCACACTTGTGGGGATGGCATATTTCTCTGGAGTCCTGACCCCCCTCATTTGCTGGGCCCTGCAGACAGAACTGGAACAAGGCTGCCCATGACAAATGGCTGAGGCTTTCTAAGTTCGCCCCCACTGGGCAAGGCAGGCAGCCACCCACCTTCGAGGCTTTGCTCAGCTCTCGGAAGGCACTCAATTTAGCTACACAGTGGAACCCTCTAGGGAGCTGGATAAAAGCTGGCTGAGGGGCATACTCCAGGAGGCCCAGCCCAGGGGGGAAACCAGCCATTCAGTGGCCTCGGTCCCCATACCACCTTGTCCGGCCAGTCAAGGCCAGGGCAGTAGGACTGTTTTCACTCTTAAGCCTAACACCAGCCTCCACAGCCTACCCAGGAAAGGGGCCCTGAAAGGGGCCACCAATGTGGTCAGGCCTCCAAAGGAGTTCAGAGCATGTCACTATTGTTTTTTTATAAAAGTATAAAAGCTTTTTATCTGGTCACTTCTTTGGATTTTCATTCTCTCGTGAAGGCGCCTCTGTACAGGTAAAAATTTAAATAAAACCTGTATGCCTTTCTCCTGTTAATGTCAGTTTAGTTCCTAGGCCCAGCTGGAGAGCCAAAGAGGGCAGAGGAGAATTATTCCTCCCCTACACCTTCTTAGTAGTTCACCAAGTCTAAGGAGCATGGACTTGATGCCATCAACTGGGGTCTACTAGCAGACCCAGCCCCACTGCTTACCCACGTGTCCTGTGCTCCCACTCGGTTCTCCAGGCCACAGGGAAGACAGGCACAGACATGGCTCTGCCACCAGCAGAGAGGGAACAGAAGATGACAGAGCAGGAGAGGACCGGGTATACTATAAGGTTTACCTGGAGGCAGTGGGCAGGAAGAGATCACAGCCAAGGAAGACAGGAGGCAGCTGGGAGCTCCCTGAAATAGAGGGACAGGCACCCTCAGAACTGCCTCTCCTGCAGGGGCTTCCCAGGAGCTGTATTTGTACCACCAGGCACCCCTCCCCTGCTCCGGATCTAGGGATGGATGTGTAGCCCACTCTGGATACACGGTCACTTAGGCAGGTGACTTGACCTGAGGCACCCTTACTCCTGTGGTGCTGCCCTGCACAGAAAGTGGGAGAAAGTCTGCAGAATAGGAAGGGGGGAAGGGGGGCAGGCAGAGGCCCTGGGAAAGGGGCAGAGCCGGCCACCATGAAAGAGGAGTCTGGGCCTCACAGCAGCCTGGTCCCCAGGACCTCTAAAAGCAGAAAGCAAGGACGGGAGTCATCATAAAGGAAAAGTCACGACTAAGAATCTGAAAGTGCAAGCGATAGAGCCCCCTCCCCAGCCCCCTCCATCCCCACAATCCCCGTTTCCACATGGGTGCCAGGAAGTCTGAGCCAATCAACACAATCCCATCCCTATTGCCTCAGAGATTGGTCTACAGATGGGCACCTGACCCACGTCTCAGCGAATCAATGCAGACCTTCTCCCCCCACCAGCAGGGTAGGCCGTCCAATTAGAGCAAAGCCCAGGACTTCGTGTTTGACACTTGGGAGAAGCAATGGGATTTGCCCAGGTTAAAAAGGTCAGCGAACCCCAAACAGTATTGGTACAAACTTCTGCTTAAACATAGAAGATGAAATACATGTGTTTATATGAGCTTCACTAGAATGACACAAAGAGGGCAGGAGGAGAATGGCAAAAAGTGAGAGGCTAACCAGGGTAGGCAGGTTTAAATTGGGGAGAGGCTGGGTGATGGGGGCTTAGCAGAGTGAGGGCCTGAAGCACAAGGTCCCGGAGCTGCAGGGGCGGGTGGGGGGGGGCGGGGAGGAAGCAAGGGGAGCCCTGAAGACGCTCCTCCTTCCTGCACCACAGATACTTCCCCCAGGAATGTACCATCCTCTGCCTCACCCTAGGGAGGAAGATGCAGGACTTTCCTGTGGAGACTTGAATGTTCAGCGATTCTGCCACTTTGAGGCCCCCGTGAAATCACTTGTTGTTCCAAGTAGTCCCTGTTGGGTAAATGTCTCCTGTGAGGTCACTCCCAAGGCTCTGACCTGTGTGCAGTGTGGCTGCCCTTGGATCAGGTGACATTCCAGTCATCTGTGGCCAGGGAGGCCGCAGGGCTATGCAGCAGGGCCTGGGACTTCTGCATGAGGACTGCCTTGGCCCCTGTCCTTGGGGGATGGTGAGCCTTTGCAGCCCAATCCTTCAACATCCCCAGTCTCAGTGAACTCATTTGAAAGTGGTAAAAATAATACCACCCCTGCCTACTGCCCCAAGACTGTCTGATCAAATGACAGAATGAATACAAAAGTACTTTGTGAATCATAAACGTTTCAATCAGTATAATTATAATGACAATTTCTCCTCCATATAAATATATTTTCTTTCTTTAGGAATAAATCTAATAAGAAATATATACGATCTATAAGAGAAAAATAATGAAGCTCACCTGAAGGGCATAAAAGAAGACTTCAACAAACAGGGCAACTGGCTACATTTCTGAATGAGAAGACTTGGCATTATAAAGATGTCTGTTCTCTAAAATGGATCCCCAAATCCACAAATTCAATGCCTTTCCAATGAAATTATCAACAGCATTATTTTAGTGAAATGGGAAGAGTAGATTCTAAGATTTATATGAAAGATAAAAGCCTTATGGTAAAGAAAATTTTGTAGGAAAATAAAAGGAAGGGATCCCTTCCCACCAGATATCAAAAAACTGAAAAGTGCCAACTGAAAGAATGTGGTATCTACAGGAACGGACAGAGAGACATCCAGCTCATAGACAGAGCTGAGGCCAAGGCAGGCAGAGTACCAAGAGCCACTTTTACATTTAGACAGTCTGTTGCTGACACAGGCAGCAAAATGAAAAGGAAGAGAGAGAGAGAAAGAAAGAGAAGAAAGAGAAAAGGAAGGAAGGAAGGAAGGAAAGAAAGAAAAAAAGCACCCAAATGTGCCACTTCCCATCTTTGTCCCATGCACCAGAAAGGATGACACCCAACCAAAGAGAGCTGGATGCCTGCGCCTCAAGTCACCCCAAGGCATCACCTCTGGCTGGGAGCCCATTCTAGATGGCAGCTACACCCTGGGGGCAGGGACAGAAAACCTCGTATCTCGGAACCAGAGATGAGGGGAAACCCTCCTGTTGCCTCCTGGGCAGATGTGGAAGAGAGTGGGCGGTGGCCTCAGAGCAGCTCCTCACAAGTCCAACCTCAGTTCCTGGAGTATCACAAAGTGTTCTGACAGGCTCAGATTAGCTGTGGTCCCAGACTTGGCCTGGTGGCCTTTGAGGACACCTGCAAGGTGACCAGAGCAGAGCCGTTCCCTCACAACAGAGAAATACAACAATGGAGCATAAACTGTGGTGCAGTTATCAATACAAATCAGTGGGGAAAAGGTAGCCAACAAATGTTAGACTCCTACCTCATACTATACACAAGCAAATTCCAGAGGGGCTGAAGTGCTGAACATTTTTTAAATATTGGAAAAATATTACAAGGAAATGTGGGAGAACATTTTTCTAATTTTGGATGGGAAATGCTTTTCTTTTTTAAAAAAAATATTTTTAAAATTTATTTTTGGCTGCATTGGGTCTTAGTTGCTGCGCATGGGCTTTCTCTAGTTGCAGCGAGTGGGGGCTACTCTTCATTGGCAGTGCGTGGGCTTCTCATTGCGGTGACTTCTCTTGTTGCGGAGCACGGGCTCTAGGCACGCGGCCTTCAGTAGTTGTGGCGTGCAGGCTCAGTAGTTGTGGTGCACGGGCTTAGTTGCTCCGCAGCCTGTGGGATCCTCCAGGACTAGGGCTCGAACCCGTGTCCCCTGCATTGGCAGGCAGGCTCCCAACCACTGTGCCACCAGGGAAGCCCCCAGAAATGCTTTTCTTAATAAGACACGAGCTTCAAAAAAAGAAAGAAAGCCAAATTCATAAAAAAGAAATACTTCTGTGTGTTAAAAGACACCATTGATCAAGCCATATGTTTAGCAATAGGTAATACAGCATATTCAACAAGAAAAGGATTAATAGATATTATGGATGGAATATAAAAATAGTTTATACAAATTGAAAAGTAGAAGACAATTCAATAACAAAACAGTTAAGTAATATAAACAAATCATCCTTAGAAAAAGGAATACAAATAACTATAAACATATGAAAAGGTGTCCAGCACTTTGCAATTCAAATGATAATGAGACGACAGATAAGCAAAAGTTATAAAGATTCATCATCTCAAGGACTGGCCAGCATGGAGTCAAACTCCTAATGATGCTGGAAGGATTAATTGGTGAAGCCATTTGAAGGGGCCAATGTAGTCCTGTCTGCACAATCATAAAATGTGCCCAGCATTGGACCTAGCAATTCAGCCTCTAGGAAGCATCCAGAAGAAACACATGCACGTGTTGACCCTGGTAAAAGGCCAAGATTTATAACAGGGGAAAACGGAAACTGCCCAGATGACCATCAATACGAAATTGGTTTAAAAATATTTCAGCGTACCCATTTGGAGAGATCTCACCGGCCACTCCTTCCCTCTCCCTCTGCTGGATCCCAGCAGAGCTCATGTTTCCAGATGGTAGTCAGGGAAGGCAGTGACCAAAGCTTGAGGGTGGCCTGGGCACGTGTGGCAATGCCACTGGCTAAGCCACCTGCTCCCTCTCCTCTGGTTCCCAGACTCAAGGGGGCCTCTCCTCCTTAGGACATGAATTTGGAAGACCCTGTGACCCTGCCCTGGGAACTGGACAGGTGGCAAAGTCTGCGGTGATAAGGTGATTGGGCTGTCGCTATGGTGATGGGGATGGAGGCCTTTTGCCATCAGCCCCAGTTTTCTGCATGGCAGCTCTAATGACAGGATGGTCAGCCCTGCAGAGGCTGGAAGGTGTGAGCGCAGAGGCCTGTTCCTGGTTGCCATGGCAGCGTGGGCCCTCGCAGGAGCGCAGAAAGCCCTGGCAGGAGAATTCCCCACTCCATACCTGGTCAGAGCAGGAAGTGTTGGGCCGTGACTGAGCCTCAGGGAAGCAGGTTGGGGTGTGAGAAAAGAACAGTCGCCCACAGCTTAATTACTCAAAAGCTGTCCCCCAGCCACAGGAGGAAAGAAGACCTTTTCTGCTGAGTCTGTCTAGAGAACACCACGCCGTCACAGCTCAGCACAGCCCGGAGAGAAAGCTGACCAGTGCTGACCAGCTCTGGAGCCCGGCAATGGCCCTGCCCCGATGATACCTGGCCTGACAAGGCCTCAGTGGGGAAGGGTCCCGACTAGGACCCAGAAGAGAAGGCTGGCAGGCTTGCTGGAGAACAATGAAAAGGAGGAAACTCTGTGATTGAACCTCAAGCCAGAAGCCAGCCAGAAGGTGGACCATATTCTACCAGACACTCAGGCCGGCCGTGACCCTTGGTTGGGAGAAGCCTGGGGATATTTCTGCCTTGGAAGCCCGTTGGGGAACACTGAGGGGTTCCAGCTCCCCCAGGCGGGCTGCGGTATAAATGCTGGATGACAGAGCCAGGATGGAGATCGCCAAGAAGGAAAAGGTAGCTCTCTGCTGCATTCGGTTTTCTAGAAGTGCTTCTTACACGTTCCTGTATTCAGTGGTTTGTTTAACTTGACCAAGTGTTTGTGCCTTAATACCTGATTGTATGTGCAGGTGCTTTAGGGACGACCTGCTGGGAGTGAATTATGAGGCATTGACTTTGGTAATGCTTTTATTTTATTTTTATTTTTTAACATCTTTATTGGAGTATAATTGCTTTACAATGGTTTGTTAGTTTCTGCTTTATAACAAAGTGAATCAGTTATACATATACATATGTCCCCATATCTCTTCCCTCTTGCGTCTCCCTCCCTCCCATCCTCCCTATCCCACCCCTCTAGGTGGTCACAAAGCACTGAGCTGATCTCCCTGTGCTATGCGGCTGCTTCCCACTAGCTATCTGTTTTACGTTTGGTAGTGTATATATGTCCATGCCACTCCCTCACTTTGTCACAGCTTACCCTTCCCCCTCCCCGTATCCTCGAGTCCATTCTCTAGTAGGTCTGCGTCCTTATTCCCATCTTGCCCCTAGGTTCTTCACGACCATTTTTTTTCCTTTAGATTCCATATATATGTGTTAGCATACGGTATTTGTTTTTCTCTTTCTGACTTCACTCTGTATGACAGACTCTAGGTCCATCCACCTCACTACAAATAACTCAATTTCGTTTCTTTTTATGGCTGAGTAATATTCCATTGTATATATGTGCCACATCTTCTTTATCCATTCATCTGTTGATGGACGTTTAGGTTGCTTCCATGTCCTGGCTATTGTAAATAGTGCTGCAATGAACATTTTGGTACATGACTCTTTTTGAATTATGGTTTTCTCAGGGTATATGCCCAGTAGTGGGATTGCTGGGTCGTATGGTAGTTCTATTTGTACTTTTTTAAGGAACCTCCATACTGTTCTCCATAGTGACTGTACCAATTCACATTCCCACCAGCAGTGCAAGAGGGTTCCCTTTTCTCCACACCCTCTCCAGCATTTATTGTTTCTAGATTTTTTGATGATGGCCATTCTGACTGGTATGAGATGATATCTCACTGTAGTTTTGATTTGCATTTCTCTAATGATTAATGATGTTGAGCATTCTTTCATGTGTTTGTTGGCAATCTGTATATCTTCTTTGGAGAAATGTCTATTTAGGTCTTCTGCCCATTTTTGGATTGGGTTGTTTGTTTTTTTGTTATTGAGCTGCATGAGTTGCTTGTAAATTTTGGAGATTAATCCTTTGTCAGTTGCTTCATTTGCAAATATTTTCTCCCATTCTGAGGTTTGTCTTTTCGTCTTGTTTATGGTTTCCTTTGCTGTGCAAAAGCCTTTAAGTTTCATTAGGTCCCATTTGTTTATTTTGTTTTTATTTCCATTTCTCTAGGAGGTGGGTCAAAAAGGATCTTGCTGTGATTTATGTCCTAGAGTGTTCTGCCTATGTTTTCCTCTAAGAGTTTTACAGTGTCTGGCCTTACATTTAGGTTTTAATCCATTTTGAGTTTATTTCTGTGTATGATGTTAAGGAGTGTTCTAATTTCATTCTTTTACATGTAGCTGTCCAGTTGAGACAGTGACTTCATTGGGCAAACCAGGTCCTCTCCCTGCTGCTCCAGACTCCGGCCCTGTGACCTGGAAGTCACAGGCTGCCAGGAGGCCCGGAAGGTGACTTCTGTTGGGAAGAGGGTCCGGGGAGTTTAGAGCCCCAGCTGGGGGGCTTGGGGCCTGGGATCTTGGTGGCAGAACCAACTGCCCAGCCATGAGGCAAGACTCAACAGACATCACGAAAGGTCTCAGATGCCTGCGCTTCCCTGCAGGAATCTTTTCCTAAGAAGCCTCAGGGCTGTTGCTCCTGGTGAGGAGTGGAGAGCAGTTACTTTTTCCAAAGCAAAGAGAAATCCAGACGTCTTCTGAGCCAGCCCTGTGCGCGAGCGGAGCCAGGGCTGGTGACAGGGCAGAAGGAAGAGCCTGCCTGCTCCCCCAAGCCAGGCAGGGCGGGGGAGACGGAGGAGAGGGCCCATATCCAGTCCCTTTGGCATGGTTTCCTCCTCACATGTCTTTTCTTCTCCTTCTTCTGTGAAATGACAAGGTCAGCATAAACGCTGGGCTCGTTCTGCTCCTGGCAGGGCTAATGATGTTGGGAGAAAAACAACCAGCCTGGGTCAGGGTGCCCGCAGCTGCAGGCAGCAGGAAGCCCACGTCTGCTGGTTCCTGGGCCGATGACCGGAGTTTGGATGAGAAATCCTGCGCAAAGGGGCCGTGGAGGCCAGCTGGGGAGAAGGGAGGCGGGGTCTTTGGCACAAGCAGAGAGCTAGCGTGGCGACAGTGAGAGGTGGGGCCTGTGGCTCGCCGTGGGGAGCTGGTGTGGGGAGGCCACCACGTCAGACTGGGGCTGGCCCACGCCCCCTTCTCGTTTGTCCCAGGGACACAATGCTTCACGCGGTAAACCATTTCTGTTCCACACATGCGGTGTGCCGGCCCCCGTTCAGGAGCCAGGCTGGTTCCAGATCGCTGGTGGGGGACGGAGGGGTGTTTCACTGACAGCCTTGTCAGGGCAGAGAGGAGAGGGAGGCATCGCCTCTGGCACGTGCCTTAGGGGGTACCAAAAACATCAGTCATCAAGATAAATAATATTCTAATTCAAATTCTAAAGAATCAAAATCCATGCGAAAAATTACGATGAGCAAAATGCCAAATTTCTAAAGAAAGAGGGCCTGAGTATTACTGATTTTTTTCGCTTGTCTTAGGCCTGTGCCGGCTGCCCTTAGAGTGCCAGCTAGCAACGTGCCAGGGCCAGACAACGGAGGCGTGGGGCTGTGACGTCTACACCCCTCCCGTCTGTCCTAGCTGCCCAGAGGACCCACCTCTTGTCTGGGGGCTGGGGGAGCGGGGTGGGGGTGCTTCAGCTTGGTTTCAGGGCCGTCCTAAGGATCTGAGGTTTCGCTGCCAGGCCCACCCAGGTCCAGCCCTGCACCTCTGGGAAGTGATACACCCACCCCAAGCCAGCATGTAGCCTGGAGTTGTCGGCTGGGGCTGTATCCACCGCAGGCTCCCAGGAGGAGAGCGTTCAGGTTGCTTTGGAGGGAACTGCAGTGCTGCTGGTTTTGCTCGTTCTTTTCTAATTTATTTATTTATTTGTTTATTTTTGGCTGTGTTGGGCCTTCGCTGCTGCGTGCGGGCTTTCTTTAGTTGCAGCGAGCCGGGGGCCACTCTTCGATGCGGTGCACAGGCTGCTCATTGCAGTGGCTTCTCTTTGTTGCAGAGCACGGGCTCTAGGCACACGGGCTTCAGTAGTTGTGGCTCGCAGGCTCTAGAGCACAGGCTCAGTAGTTGTGGCACACGGGCTTAGTTGCTCCGTGGCATGTGGGATCTTCCCAGACCGGGGCTCAAACCCCTGTCCCCTGCATTGGCAGGCAGATGCTTAATCACTCTGTGCCACCAGGGAAGTCCTGGTTTTGCCGTTTCTGTTTCTCTGGTTCATCTTGCCTCTGTGACCTGTCGGATCACCTGTGGTCATCCCCCTATACTCTGCAAGAGTGTGTGGCCTCAGTACCGTTTTCAGTGGCTTCCCTGGGGGGATGGCAGCTTCTTACGTGGTTTTTCTAGAGCTCCTTGGGGGCAGGCCCGCTCCTACTGATGCTGCTTCCTCTCCCCTCCAGCCTGCGGCTGTGGAACCCCACCACAGAGTCATTCCCTTGGCATGGAGCTCTCTCTTTTTTTCCCCATAGTTTTATCATCTGTAAATGGGTTAAAAATATCATCTTTTTCCTTAAAAAAATTTTTTTAATGAAGTATAGTTAATTTTCAATGTTTCAGGTATACAGCAAAGTGATTCAGATACATATATCCTTTTTTAGATTATTTTCCATTATCCGTTATTACAACATAAGAAATATAGTTCCCTGTGCTATACAGTAGGTGCTTGTTGTTTATCTATTTTATATATAGCAGTGTGTATCTGTTAATTCCAAATTCCTAATTTATCCCTCCTTCCCTTTTCCCCTTTGGTAACCATAAGTTTGTTTTTTATGCCTGTGAGTCTATTTCTGTTTTATAAATAAGTTCATTTGTACCATTTTTTTTGGATTCCACATATAAGTGATATCATAAGATATTTGTCTTTCTCTGTCTGACTTACTTCACTTAGTATGATAATCTCTAGGTCCATCCATGTTGCTGCAAATGGCATTATTTCATTCTTTTTTGTGGCTGAGTAATATTCCAGTGTATATGTGTACCATGTCTTCTTTATCTGGTCATCTGTCAGTGGACATTTAGGTTGCTATGGAGTTCTATCTCTTGATGGCCACAACTTCTAGGAGACCTGAAATTGGGTCCTGGGAGCCACCTTGGAAGTTCCTGGTCTATTCTTCCCCCTCCCTCATCGGTGCCCTTCTGCTGGGGGGCAGGAGCGATGGGGGCTCTAGAGCCGGTACAGTTTGCCTTATGTGGTGGGTTTAGGGAGCACTTTTCAGGAGGAAGGCTGGGAAGGTAACACTCCAGGTGTCTTAGTCTGCCCAGCTGCCATCTGGGTGACTTAACCAGCAGACACTGCTTCCTCACAGTTCTGGACACTGGAAGTCTGAGAGCAGGGTGACATCATGGTCAGATTCTGGGGAGGGCTCCCTTTCTGGCTTGCAGATGGCTGCCTTCCTGCTGTGTCTTCACATAGTTGCAGGGGGGGAAGGAGAGCACTCTGATCTCTTCCTCTTGTGGGGGCTCTACCCTCATGCCCTCATCTAACCCTATTCACTTCCCAAAGGCCCCACCTCCTGACACCATACACTGGGGGTTAGGGCTTCGACATATGAATTTGGGGGAACACAATTCAGTCTATAGCATGAGGGGTGGGGGTGAGAGCCACAGGGGGCACTGACCTCCCTCCATTCAGCCCCCCTCAGCTGCCCTGGGCACTTCGCTGCTGAAGGAGAAGGCTCAGAGATGGGGTGAGTCTGCATCACTTGGCAGGCATGCGCATCCAGGTTCCCTGGCAGGACTTGTCCCAGCGG